ACAATTAGTTTACCAAGCTTGAACTCCCCACCTCCACCCACCTGCCCTTAATCGAATGACTTGTCCATCTTTAAGTGACATGATATGCCTCTTTTAACACCCATACACTGCATGGAGACCTGCCAGACGCAGCTGGATGATGTAGCTTATTTACAAATATTGGTTTGAACTTGTAAATGCACGACCACATAAATTTTAATCTAGTTAGAGTGTGCGCCCTTTGTTCCCTCCCTAGTTATTAGCAGCCCGTGCCAAACCACAGAGCTGGCTGGCCAGTTGGTCCCTGGATTGTGTATTCATGTGGGGATGAAATGGCGCTGAAGGAGAGTGTGAATTACAGGAGCCCCTTCCTGTTGCCAGCATTTACTGGTCTGCCTTTTGTTCTTGCTGTTTATGTGATTTCTCTATTTTACACAGCAGGGGATGTTAATCAAGTTTTGCCTAAGTAATATTAATGAAACTTGCCAACTTATGCTTGAGGGAAGAAGCAGAATATTATATTTCCTTTTGAAATGTTAATGCAGCTTTTAAGAAACTCTTTCTGCCTTCTAAATCTCCTTAGTGTTAAATTACTAAATATCTACATCACTGGTGAAAATACTCACATGCCTTAAATGATAAAAGAATTATAAAGTGTAAAAGAAGGAGAGTTTGGAATGTTACATTTAAATCCAACTTAAACACTTTCAAGTGTTTGCTTAAAACACTGACAAAACTTGCAACTGTCTTGGGTGTTTTATCAAAACGGAGATCTGATGATGATTATGTTTTATTACCAGCCAATTTGAATGTTATTCTCAAGTTAAAGGACAGATTTAGCTGGAAATATCTATAAATTATAGAACTATCTACTTTTCAGAAAAAAAAAAAAAGATGACATGAGGGTGTTCTACTTTACTGCTTTTTAATCATTGGACTCTAAACCTTTAGCAAGTTTAGTTCAGGTTGTAGTCTCCAGGCACAGAAATCCTCACAGTTTTAATGTTCTGTCACATCATGGCTGCTGTGTAGATTTGTCCTTAAAATGTAAGGATGAGAAGTACACCAGGTCTCAAGCATGCAAACATCAACAGATCGGTGCCCTGAGATCAGGATGTACTGTCCTCCGCGAAGTGTGTGCAGGAAAAATGAATCCATAGGATGTGACTTGTGTTCTCTTTAAGAGTCTCTTTTAATGATAATACAGTATAAATACATCCCAAATACACAATAACTCAAAAGGAACTTAAAAATAGAGTTTGTTCAAGAATTATTTACATAGTGAGTTTTATTTGATGGGAACATTTAATCCTGGGGTAAATAATTTATTTTCTATCCATTTAAAACTTAGTAATGGCTTTTGTATCATTGTGAACACGTTTGTTATCCTGAATGAAATTTTCTAACAGCGTTTCCTCCCAGTCACTGTCACTATAGTATATAATAGAAGTAGCAATTCTATCTATGAAAAATTGACATCTCACAAAGAAGAGCGTGACATAAAATTGGTGGCACCTCCATCATTCAACTGCTATCGTTTTGGAAATGAGTAAAATAGGCAAAATGTTACAGTCACTTCCAACTGGTGATATTATAGATGCATGAAATATGCACCAGGTAACACATTGAATGTCTTGTGGTAATTCATGGTCACCTACCACTTTTCTAAAGAGAAATAAAAAGCATTGCTAAAATGATGACTTAGCATTATTGAGTACAGTGTCCAACAGTTCACAACATATCTGGGAAAGAAATCTTCTGTCTAGAAAAACAGATACTGACTAAATACAAGAACAATGGTAAAGAAAGGATTAGGTTAAGCCTATGCCAATTCTTCATTTTTTTTAACAAGGACCTAAAATACTAAGTGATTTAACAACAACAAAAAAAATTCTCCAACGAGAAAATGTTTGGTATCTAAATTCCAGAGGAAGACCTGAGAAGCGGATGATCCTTGGAGTTCTGCTATCTAACAAAGACTCATATGTAAACACCAGCAACACAACCATTCTATGCTCATGCTATGTCACATGTCACATTTAAACGAAGAAGAGACAGTAAGAAAACTTTCCATCCATGTAAATCACCAAGGGTATTGGCTTGGGTTGCTTGTCTTTAGACTATATTCCAGAAACACAATTTTAAGATCATTTCTTTTCTCACAGATATTAACTTCATGCTAGCCCCCTCATTCCAAAAGCTCATGTTCAAAATCTCATGTCAGTGTTCAAGGTGCTTGCAATTTTTACTTGTTTAACATTTTTTTTCATACTATTACTGGTGACAATCTGACCTTTATTAACCTAACCATGACAAACAACCATGGGTAAATCCAATATCTAATACGACCCCAAAATCCAGTCAATATGATCAATTCACTGAGAAAAGCAGTTAAATAGGGTTACTACTTAATAGATTTTTTGATACAAGTTAGTAAATAAATAAGAAGGATCAGAAATGTCAAGCAAGGAAGCTCATAAAAAATCATTATGTTATTTAAATGAGTTTTCTTCCATATAAAGTGAAAAAGGGAAGAAAGGAACACAAAGCGGTGACATGCATTTCTAGCCCTAGTGATGCACATGTTTCTGAATCTTAAACCTGACACCTTTTAAAATAAGATCTCAGAAAGTATCCTTAACTGGTTTTCACACTCTGGTCCTTATTGAAATAGCATCAATGGGCTGGGGGATGGTTACACGTCAAAAATGAGTTGTCTAGTGTTTATCAGCAATTAGAGACTGAAAACATCTCCATTATAAATTTAGGCATAAAATGTGTTACAGAAAAACCTTAGGTGACAATCTGAGATCTACTTCTTTCACTGGCTGCTACATTAGATGGGTGATGAAAGGTTCGTCATTACAGGGAGGGTTTCTGCAATGTTGAGTAATTAACCAGCGTGCCTTAGAACACAGACCAGCTTATCAAATAAAAAAGAAAATGGGAGATCTAGTGATAGTGGGAATGTCCAGCTGTAGTCCAGAGAAGAAGGAGGAATGCTTCCAGCAAAACAGAAACAAATCGAACTGTAAGAGCTTAATACTTGCACACGTACTTCAGTCACTTCACACATCGACACAGTTACAACATACATGTCTCTTCTTGTAGGCCAGTTACATGTAAATAGGTTTTCAAAATAATCTGAAGATTATTCAGAGAGCATGGGTCAATGCTGGTTTAATATATTTTCAAATGCCTATAAGAATGTAAGAATATGGACTTCCGGTCTGGGCCCGAGCATAGAGCAGGTCACAGGCGGCAGCTCCGTACCCAACCCCAGAAAAGCGAGAGAAAGAGGGCCTCCCAGGAGCTTTAACTCAGTCAGCATCCCAGGTAAAAATGAATCACCCGTGATGTCGGCAGTTAGAAGTTCTAATCCAGATGCTGGCCTCCGAACTTACACTACTCAGACCTTTGAAGGGCCACTGACAAGAACATCAAACAGAGATTGACATCACTAATCTGAAGAAATCCCTCATTTCGCTGTCTGAAGAGACCTCCTAAAATCACAAAGAGCCTTATTGGACTTGATTTACTCTATTACAATAGAAAAGGCTGTGTACAGCTCTGGACTGTGTACAGCTCTTAAAGAAGAAGCTTGCCTTTACATAGACAAGACAAGGAGGGTTAAAGAGAGCATGAAATAGGTAGTGAAGGCCCAAAGAAAAATCAGAGAGAGAAAGAGATAGATGAATGCTCGTACAAGAATTGGTTTTCAGCCTCTCCAAGGTTGTCAACCCTATTTCCTCCCATCTTGGGACCCTTATGTGGGTTCTTTTTGCTTTTTTCTGCTGGTCCCTGGCTCTCAAATAGGCAGACTAACTCTGTGATACAACAGATAAATAATTTGGTAGCAAAACCTACTCAGATACATTACCATAAGTTAGCTATGGAGGACCACGAGACTCAAGATGAGGTTGTTACTTTATACAGGGTGTTTCCAAAACCCATCTCCACCCAACCGAAAAGGGAGGACTTCTGCCCCTAGACCAAGCAGAGAGGGGCCACCCAGAATCCCCTCTGTCAGGCGATCTGAATTCTTGATTAGGCTGCGAGGCTAAGCACTGCAAGGGAATATAAATAAAAGATAAAAATATCTATCTGGGTTCCCTGAGGGACAAGCCTGACTGCATAGGGGTTGATGTCAAAAGTATCCCCTCTCCAGGAAAAAGACATCAGGATGGACATGATCCTCATGCCTCACTGGACAACGACAGGGGGACTGGAGCCATTACAAGGTCTCCTTCAAATACTGGAGGTCAGGCCTCTATCCCTGCCTTCGAAAGTTTAGAATTGCCACAGCCCTTCGATACTTAGAGAAGGGAGGAGATGTCAGGGGCATTCCTGCTTACCCACTGAAGGCCTAAAATCAGCCATAGGCCTAAAATCAGCAATAGGCCTGTCATACATATATACTAACACCAAGTCTTGGGTCTCAGTGGAAAAATATTGAAACAGATGGCTATAAGCTAATGTCAACAGGCAGCTTTTGTGGAAATTTACAAGCCTGAGTAGTCATAGACCTTGTAAATAGGTAGCCTGGGCAGACAATACCAACTTAGATAAGGACAAGCGAGTCATAGGCAGAGTCATAGTGACTTGTCCCCTGAACCTTCACCCAGCCGATACTCGGTTCTGAAAATATCTGTATTCTCCCTGAACACCCACACTCCAGTGTCATTCCCTTCCTCACATCCTGGCTTTCTGTATTTTTAACCCCTGTGTGAATGAATTACGATTTGAGAAAAAATAAATTATAAAAAAAAAGAATGTAAGAATATGTGAATGTATTTTTCTTTCTTGTCTTGTACATAAACATGAGCATGAATATTCCAACCAACTTAATTGGTCCGGGTTATTCACAAAAAAATAGAATAGATTTTGACAGTTTGGGGTCAAATTCTTATAACACTATAAAGTTCCATCACTGAATATATTGCAGTGTGACCCAAACTATGCAAACAAAAGTACTGATTAATTTAAATGAAGTGATTATAAAAAGGTATAAAGATCCTTACTGCAAAATCTTCTCTCCATTGGTGGGCGGCTTGGACTTTTTCTGCTTCCATAGCCAGGCGCTGAAAAAGAAATGGTAAGTCTTAGATGCACATGACCATGGCTACAGAAACATGGAATTATACCATAATATACTACCTGTCATTTCAGGATTATAAATAATTATGGGGCATGAAAAGCAATAGACAACATTTATTTATTATTCATAGTTAACAAGCCAGTTACCAATCTAACCTAGTAAAGTTGATGCCACAGCAATAAATAATCTATTATTCTTAAATACAACTGTAGACCTATCTCTCTTTGTTTTTAACCATGAATGAGTGCTTTCCTTCAAGTAAGTATATTTCAACTGTTTTTTTTTTGTAAAACGTTTTAATGAAGTGAAGACAGTATACTGATTGAAGTATAATCCTCTTCTTAGTAAGCACTACCAAATATTTCATCAGCAGAAAGGAAAAGATGCTGATGAAGAATATATGGTCACCGAATAGGCACATTTGTAATAGCGAGTCTGGGATTTCCTGTTGGGTGAATGTATTCCTAGATGTTTGAAAGATGATTTTAAAGACTGTAAACTCAGAATGAACACATATAGAAATGGTTTCATTTCACCTCCAAATCCATATACTTGAAACTGGCTTCCTTTCACCTCCTTGCAGTATAATGAAGTAATCAGGAAGGGTAAAGGCACTTCATTGACTTCAGGTATGTTTCAGAAGAATTATGGGGCAGATATAGCACAAATTTAACAGCAAATGAATTTTGAATATAAATGCATTAAATTCACTTATAAAGAGACAACAGGTTACATTTTGGGAAAATAATAGTCATGAAGTGGTTTTGAAATTTATGTTACACTGTCTAAATACTATTTGCTGTCATTTGCAATTCCTATGAGTCAAAACTACATCAAAAAATCCAAACATCCCTTTGGACACTCTACGTTAACACATAGGTTTCTATTCTTTAAGTTTAACACAGCAATATGTACATTTTTCTAAGCTATTATATAGTTCTTACCAATGACAATGTAATATATAAATATAATATATATCATATATTTTCTACAATATACAAATATAAGGTTCAAGTCCTTGTTTTTTTTATTTCCTTATATGTGTCATGAAATGTCTGAATACACAATTTAAACAGATTTTAATAAAATAAAGGACATTTATTGTGAGAGTCTGAAAAGTTTTAGAAACCTAATGATAGCAAGTTAAATGTATAAAATATATTTTAAAAAGCTGAAGTACAAAAGTTGCTAAATTTTATTTTCTCTGCTTGAAAGATAAAATTAGGAACTCATAAAAATATACTACTATTATATCTTTCTTCATAAAGAAATAAATGAAACTTTAATCAAGTTTCATAAATGTTCCAAATACTTACTTTTAAGATAGTCTATGTTATAACTAGCACACTCCCTAACTGCTCTTTCTAGTGACAAAAGACCAGAAGGTCATTACTTATAGAAACTGACATGCCTTCTAGACACTAGCAAGCCTCTAATTAACTTCTGTTCCAGTCAAGTGACATTTTAAAAGCCAATAATCTACCACTGAATGCCATAGGGAAATTGCGCTAAGACTAATAAAATCCCTATCTAATAAAATATGAATATTTTACTGTTAGCCAATTTACATCTCTACAGCTGGATATATGTGTATGTTCTATAACAACTGTTTATTTACAAAGAAAGAAAACATAGTTATGGAATTGGTATTACCAGTCTTGGAAGTTATAGGGCATAAACCCTTGCTTCATAATCAGAAGCTGGTAAAAACAGGAATTAAAACTCTAGGACCCCAATAACTGGCTAGAAGAAAGAGACCAGAGTCTGCTTTCTGGCCTTAAGTGGAGACATGGCATTCTAAACCAGCTCGAAGGTCCCAAGCTCATCCAGCCTTTAACATTGTGCTACCACTTGGTAATCTACAACGTTTATCTGCAAGAACCACCTAATTCAATTACAAAAAACAACAATAATAATCAATTAATTAATGAGGGAAAGAAATTACAAAATAAAGTCTCCTAAAAACATAAGCAAATTTATGATTTTGCAGAAGGATAGACAGAGTTGTTGCATTATTATTATTGTCTAGCCAGGGTCTCTCTAGTAAAATGCCAGGACACTATAAACATTCCATCCACTGGTCTTGATAAGCACTTGGACAGGAAATTGTATAAAGAAGAACTCTGAAAAGCTGAGGAAGAAGGATTACTATGAGTGACGCCAGGATGGACTCTAGAGAAAGATCAAAAAATAAAAAATCCAGAAACAGTATAAAGCCTGCCTTAAATGTAGGCCGGGACAATTGCTTCCTCACCGCTTGAGAGTGTTGCACTGTACTACATGATATAGCTATCTTCTATACTATGCTATGGGTATCTTATGTGGGTTCATTTGACACAGGATCAAAAGGGCTGGAATGGAGGGGAAGCAACCATGAAACCCACATTGAATCCTAAACAAAAATGCACTTGGCCCATCAGGAGCAACTGAAGGAGGATACCTGCCCTGTCATAACTATCATCAACTATATCTTGTCCTATTTAGCTTTGCCTTTGCATTCTTAACCTTTCTGAGTTGATGTTGTATTCCTGGAAAAGCAGAACTTAGTGACTGGTAAGCACCTTTGTGACATGGGTTCAAATACTGTCCAAACACTGAGCATGCAGAACTCACTTCATCCAAGTGTGGTCAACTATCCATGACAGGAAGTTTAAGGAGCTATCTAGAGCAGCAATGTCACCTTCCTAAGAATCAGTTTATTCTCTTCAAGCAAGGATAGTTATAACTTCCTCAGGATGACCTTGAAGAAGCAGAGGCCAGACAGGCAATGAACAACTAGACCTGGATTTGACCAGTTTGTCTTAGCTCGACATATTTCTTTGTCCCTTGCTCCAATTCTTTCTTAACATGAACCAAAGTCATCTCAGTACCCAGAAAATCAACTTGGGTTCCCTGGACTCCTTTATTGGTTCTCTTCCCAATAAGGCCACACTGAGGACGTCTTTTCTATCCCCTCTCACCACTAGGCACTATCATCTCTTTACTTGGCATGCTGCAGGCGGGTTGCTTCCTCTATCTGGGCTCCCTGAGTCTATTCTTTGGCTCTAAAAATTCCACTTCCAATACTTAAAAAGGAAATGTTAAGCTTAATTCTGTTTACATTATGACAAAGCAGAGAGGGCCACCTAAATGGCTTTATTCAAAATGTATGAGAAAATCATTTATATATATATATATATATGTATATATATATATACATATATATAATGATGGATTTAAAATTTACATATCTCTACATCATTGATTTGCACATTAAAACAAACAAACAAAAAAGAAAACCCTAATGATAATTTTTTTTTTAAACAGACTCACTTTTTAACACAGCAGACTTGCCACTAAGCCTTCAGGCCCTAAAGGTCAAGCTCACTGCAATGCCAGGTTTTAGTTTCCCATAATCTCATCAAAAGTCATATCATATGACACCCATAGTGTACATAAAGACATTGTTGGAACAACACTGAAACAATGACAGAAATCTATGGTTTCAGGTTAAATGAAAACCAAAATTGCAACATAAAATCATAAAATAAGCTAGTTTAGGAGCTGTCTTTACAAAGTCATCCTTCAAATGCAATCAGATTAGAACTTAACAGTGAAGAAGCTTTTGGTATGTGGTAGTCTGCAGGGACCAGAGCAAAATTCAAGCAAACAGACAGGAAGCAGTTTATCAGATGAGAGAAAGGCCAGCTCCCTTGGAGGTCTATTCATCCCCAGCCTTCACACTGTCATATCTGCATCTTTTCCACCGGCACTGAATTCTGATATATGACATAGAAGTCAAATAAAAGAAGTAGAGGTATATTGAAAAGAAGCAGTCCTATCATTCCAATCAGTAATATTCAAATATATTTCCTCTTATAAAAATAGTATTTTCTAAATTTCGAAGTATTCTGCTTCCTGTGTTATAAATTAATTTTAGACTATCTTTTTTTTCAGAAGAACTTATCAGAACAATCAAATAATCATAAGCATTTCTTCAAAGAGTTTTGAAAGCAAAATATAGGGCAGTACAGGGCTGTTCATTTAAGATTCCAAGGCCTCTGACATTCAAATTTAAATAGGCAGTATTGACTTAGAGAATCCATTCAAACAAGTTCTAAAACAACGCCTTTGACTGTGTTGATCAAGATTTTTTCTCTTTAATAAAGGGCAACAGATATAAAGAACAGACTAATTCAGGAAAATATGCATTTTATGAGATTTTGATTAATGTTCAATTAATACCCAATACGGGCTGGCAATTGCTGAGTTGTACCTGTATTGACAATCTAATTATCACTCTAATGGGTTTTACTAATTCTCATTGAAAGGTTCTTATAGGATCAGGACACATATTTCAATGGCCTAAAAAAAGCTTTTGAAAACAGCAGATTAAGGTGAAAGAACACACTTCCAAATTCTGAAGAAAAGTTCACAGACTTTGCTTCGGAGGATGGTAGTGGGGTAGGGCTTTTTAGTGCAATTAAGTTGTGCAATTAAAACAAAAAAACAAAACTTTGGAAGGGAGTTTCTGGATCCTGTTGTATAGATTTCAGCCTCGATCTGTCTTACTCAGTAAGTGCTTTTGAAATTAACCACAAGGCTTCAAATCTAATCTCAGGGTTGTAATTAGCTCTGAGCAATTGGCAGACACTTGGAAAACAGAAGCCAGGGTAAAGGAGATTTCATCTGGTGATAAAAGCAAAGCCCCTCTTAGCAGCAAGAAAGCAAATGATGTACAACTGATGACTGCATCACCTTCCTTCTGTTCCATAGTACAAAGCAAAAAAAAAGTACAACATTGATATACTGAACACAATTTTTACATCAGACACATGCCTGGCTACCTGTAAAGAATCACCGATGAGCCTGTTTAACCACCTTGGTCCCCTAACCAGGGATGCCAGTCCCACTCCTGTCCAAAGATTCGGATGCATATGTGGGTCAGTTCTGTCACTCAAGATCACTGTGGTGCACCTTCTCTCAGATGGAGACTTGAGAAGA